TTTTCCGACCTTTGTGTAGCAAATGCGATTTTTTTCTAAATTTCTCCTCACACTTGTCGCATGCAAAATCTTTGCGACCCTCGTGTAATGTCTTTATGTGCAAAAACAAACTATATTTAGTATCGAATCTCTTCGCACAAATTTCACATAAGTAATTTTTGAAAACTTCATGGAATATTTTGTTGTGCTTGAGTAAATTTGATTTATTTTCAAATTTCCTCTCACATTTGTTGCATGAGTAATCTTTGTGATCTTTGTGTGCTAATTTTTGGTGCGTAAACAAACTTGATTTTTTGATAAATTTCTTCTCGCACTCATCACATGAAAAGTCTTCGCGACCTTTGTGTACTGATATTTGGTGTCTACTCAAATGACTTCGGAACTCGAATGTCTTTTCGTACCTGTCGCATTCAAAATCTTGATGTTTATTGTGAATCGTGTCTCGATGTGCTATCATGCTTGATTTTAGTTTAAATACCTCCGGACAAATATTACAAACGTATTTTTTGTAGTCTGAAGAAGCAATGTTGCGTTCACTTAAATTATTCTTTGCGACGATTTCCTCGGATTTTTTCTCACTTTCATCCATTTTGGTGCCTAAATTGAATCATGAATTAGTCTATTTAATGTAACAGAAATTAAATGAGTAAAATTTATGCTAGGTATTATGGCATGTTTCATCGGGAACGACAACATTCAAACTAATTTAATTTCACTATAAACATGATCGGTGTTCAAGGGACATGTCAAAATCGTTTATGATCATATTGTTCAACATTTTGGTACTGATTGATTTATTTATAAAATATTCTTACAACATTTGAAATAATTTAAAACTTAAAGTTGGTCACGATTCCTTCGAGAAATTGATAAAACAAAAAACATTGCATTAAGCTCCCGACGGACAATATCTAATACTTCTAACTAGTAACATTGTTTATGTGTTTACATCTATTATCGCGCTTGCCATCTGGCGTCGATAGACCTAAATTGAAGTACTAAATTTATGATGGTCATATAATACCATATCTGGTCTATTAGTCCGGGCGCTGATGAAATTTGAGTGAAATTGCGAGATCCCCTCGGCGAGTTGACGAATTTCTATGTTTTTTGGGTCACTGAAATTGAATTTCAATGTCGCCAGGCCGAATTTCTGGTCAATTTTTTGTTATTAATAAATTAGCTGTTTAAACGGCCATATCTTGTATAATATTGAAGATAGATTAAAACAACTTATTTTTATTTCATTTCTCTTTAAAAAACAAAAAGATTGACGTATATTAATTGAAAATCCGTCTACTACAAAAAAAGTTATGCAGTAATTGGTGAAAAATTACTAGAAATACGTCCTTTCTTATCTTTCAACCTCTGCAACTTGGCTCGTATTAGTGCGATCGAGCTCATCGACATTTCATCGACATCTCATTTTAAAGGTAATAACCTACACAATGAATGATATAGCATCATTTTCATGTTAGTAAAATTGTATATAATGCAGTTTGTAGACGTTTTTAAACGTAATTTTATGGCTTTGACGTACTTTCCATTTGTTTATACGCGTTTTTCGCTGAGATAAATTATTAAAACAACGTGGCAACTCAGTTCAAATGAAAGTACATCCAAAAACGAAAATTTTAAACTGTTTCGAAAGGTAATCGGCCAAGTAGGCGCCAAGTTACAGCCTTCTGAATTTGGGCGTAGAAACGAGCGAACGCAGGGTGCGTCCCTTAAGCGCTCGCTCGTTTCTGTACTGGGTCTCGTAATTTTTCGTAATGTGTACATATTCACATACATTACGATCCACATTCTATTATTTGAAAGTAAAAAACACGTAGATGCTGCTACAAAAGACACAAGTAGCTCGAATTATGTACGGTGAAGATTAGAAAGTGTAAAATTTCCACTTAAGGAGACGGAAGTTGTACATATGGAGTGACTGTGCCCCCAACTTTGGGTGCTTCTCCGCTTCTCCCACTTACTCTCGCTGTAGCGCCGGTTTGAAAGTGTAGTACGATTTGACTGCTCATTTGTATGCTTCTATCTTGTGTAGGCTATAGCTTTAGACATGTGTTTTTTACTTTCCATTTAATATATCATAGTGTGCAGTGCATAGTCAGTACACGAGAAGAAGCCGCCGCGTGAACAGCTGAAAATATCGCATCGTTTTCAGTTAGTGATTTTCTTTAAAAAATTCAAAAATATCTTAAACAATAACTATAGTGTGTTCTGTTAGTGAGTGCACAGAAAGATGCAGATCGATAACGAGGACGTGGATCATCTTAACCAACAAAATAGAGAAATATTGAAAAGCCTACGATTAAATGTAAAGTGGTGGGTTCAAAAACAGCGATATGAACTTCTCGATCAACTTTATCCCTTGGTCGAAAATTGGGAGGGCGACTACGCAGTTTTCCTAGACATTTTTCGACGACATGAAATCGATCTGCTTCTCATGGATTCCATAAATTATTGGGGTGAAGATCCACGGTATGATAAAGTATTAAGATTCATCACGTTTGTTATTCTCACCGGCTTCAAGGACGAGCCTGTAGTTGATGAAGAAGGGAAGCCACGGTTGCATCTCACCACTGCAGTGCACGTGGCAGCTCGACGCAGAATAAGTAGCAGAATGAATTACCAAGACGATCAGTCGGATATGGTGATCAATAGACTTTTCTCAATATATAACAAATTTAATTTGAATTACATCGACGAAAGTGGCCTGTCGCATTTTCATGTGGCCTGCTTGGCTGGCTGTGAGGCAGTCGTCGAGAAATTTCTCGAGTTCGGCCAGGATCCCAATTCTCTCTCATGAAATGATCATCGAGAACTTGGGGAACGAAGACTTATATAATATTTGCTTGACGGCTACCAGCCAATGTGACAAGAACAATATGAATAATAGAAAAAGAAAAAAGACCGGTAAAAGCTGTTATGAAATTTATAAAAGAATCAAGAAATATGATGATTTGTAGTTTATTTGCTCAGTGACTACAAGCCAAAGCCCTGGTGTTAATAATATTAATATTTATATGTTTGGTGTATCAATTTTTCCATGTTATTCAAATAAATAAACTTATCTTAATTTAAACCTTTTTTTTATAATTTCGTCGAATTTTCAAATTATGCCTTTTATAAAGTTGTCAAATATTAAAAAAAATTAGAAAAAAATTTAGCAAGTGAATAGTTATTGGAAAATCATATTTATTACATGAGCCATAATATTACAACGAAAATTCGTAATACAATTTTTTTTTTCATACAGCAATTGTTTTTACGTATCGAATCGTCTCATTTCATTATCATTGCACTTTTCCTCGTAATTATTATCACTATCAAATAATATCAAAATTTTTGTACAAAAATCTTGAAGAAGAAAAACAATTATGTTACAGAGTTACGTTTTTAGCTACATTTATTTTCTAATAAGTATGGCTAGTGTTGTTAACTCGATGACACTATCAGCCAACTAAATGGGAGTTTTTCGCCGCTAGTACCTGCAAGTAAAATAGTTTAGCAATTCATCAACTGTATTATTTTTACTTATTTATTTTTATTATTATTTTTTTTATTATTATTATGGTGTATACATCAATAGGAACAAAAATCTTGCAATTGTAAATATTTTTGGAGTATATTTTATTTATATAATTTAGAAACAACTTTGGAGTAATTAAATTTTTTTAATTTTAAAGAAAACATAATTAGAAAAAAAATCATAATAAGTCGGTACGGTTCAATACTTAGCAATCGAAAAATATAAAATGAAAAAACTGATATCAAAGACGCACGTTGCAGATACTCGCTATTTTCCGTTTTCATCGCTTTTGTGATATATTTTACAAAAAAATAAAATAAAATAAAATAAAAAACGTAAGAAAAGGTTAAACATGTAAATGTTTATGCAAGTGTCAAAAGGGTGAAAAAGTTACGTTACGAAGGTACCACGAGGTTTTCAGGCGGTCATTCAACCGCACTCAATTTTGCAAAACTGCAGTGATCGCAAATATCTATCCCTAAGCTTAAAAATTCTTATTGATAATTAAAATTTTAATATTGCATTAATTGTATAAAAATGTGAATATTTAATCGTAATTAATGTTAGTCTCCACCGCCAGATGTCGAGTATCTTTATCTATAATTCTGCAAGAGGCAGAGTAAAAAAAATTGTATAAGTCAGAGCCCGGGCTTTAAAAATTATAATGATTCATTTCTGAGTATAAGCATTAACAATAATGTTGTTAAATTCAAATTTAAAAATTTAATTTGAAGAACTTTACATTAAATTTAATGCGATATCGTTCATGAGAAACTTTTCAAATCCCGTTAAATCACATCCCTTTTATTTTAATGAATCTACATGAAATTAAATTCTTTCACATAAAGGAATAGTTCTTTCATTTTCACATTAATTTTATTGATATTGGTTCCCAAAGAGTGCTATTCTTCACATAATTGTGTTGAGCATATGAAGTCATGTTACTTATCACTTCGAAGCTTTTCGCTACTTTTTATGTCAATGATGTACTGTAAACAACAACTCGTATCAATGCTCTTTACTGGACAATTTTTTTTTGTCAGTGCATTCAAATGCACTGAAAATGGTATATAATACGAGATTTGGAAGGCGTACATTGTCTTTCTAAACAAACAAAATAATACGTAAAAGTATGTTTTTGTTTACAAACGTGGCTTCTAGAATCAAGCACCAATACTTTCCAATAATCAATACACTTTACGTCGTTGAAGTGTAAGCAACAAAGAAAGATCACGTCGATCAAAGAAAGTGGTTATCGTGAAAAAAATTCTCTTATAGCTTCTACCACGTGGTATTTACATTCTATATAAAATATAAATCGAATTGTATGTACTATTGGTATTAAAATCGTGACGATACAGTGTGAAGAGAGGGAGATCGCATCGACTGCATCAAGTGATTTTCGTGAATAAATAACAAAATATTTCAATTCTAATCGATCGTATTCGCGTGCAAAACGATAATGGACTCGTCGGACGATGAAAGTTTCCTCAGCGAAAGCGAAAGTGACGAAGAATTCGACGACAGCGTTGTTGACGATCTCAGTGAAAATAAATTAGAAAAATTGAAGTGCTTGGGCAAAAATGTCAATTGGGAGATCGAAGAAGAGCGTCGCAAATTTCTTCGCGAATTTTACTCCATAATCAACGGTTGGAACGCCGAACTTCCAAATCTCCGAGACATTTTTGAAAAGGAAGAAATTCACTGGCTTCTCATGGAGACTGTACATTTCAGAGGTGGAGATGCGGAATATTTTCAAAGAGAAGACATCGTCGATTTCGTGGCTCTTACCGGATACAGAGACGAGCCCGACGTGGACGATGATGGCAAGCCGGTGTTGCGTCGCACCACGCCGGTGCATGAGGCGGCCCAACGCGACTACCTGCACGTCGTCAAAAGCCTGTTCAAAATTTACGACAGGTTCGACGCGAATTACATCGACGAGGAGTCCGGCCTCACTCACTTTCACGTGGCCTGCATGTCGCGCTGCGACGAGGTCGTCGAAAAGTTTCTCGAGCTCGGGCAGGATCCCGATCTCCGCGTGCCGAGAACGGGCGATTCGTCGCTGCACCTGGCTTCGGCTCGGTACAACGTCGAGGCGATCGCGTTGCTGTTGAAACACGGCGCGATCCGAATCTGGCCAACGAGGAGGGACTGACGCCGCTGCACGTCATCTGTCGGCGAAGCTTCGACGACCACTTGGTGGATCTGTTCTTCAAGATGAGCGACGACGCGCGGCGGACGATACGGGTCGACGCCCGGGACAAGGCGGGCCGTACGGCGTTGCACTGGGCCGTGGCGAATCACAAGCCGCACGTGGCCGACGTGCTTCTGAATCGTGGTGCCGATCTGTCCAGCTTCGTTTTTCCCGGCGCGAGCTATTTCGCCAGAAAATTGGTGTCGGGGTACAACGAAGGCAGATACAATTATCGATTGGAGCTGGCGGCCAGCCTGCTGGACGTCACCGAACGCATCGTGAAACGAGGATACGAGCTCGACCGTAGCGACGTCCAAATGATCATGGAAACGTTCGCGAGTCACAAAGTGTTCAAAAAGCCGTCGAACCTCGAAATACGTTGGTACGATCGCGTGGATTTTGTGGATGCCAAATATATATTCATGAATTCGAGTCTGTCGCTCTACGACCTGGTACAGTTGCGACCGGAAGAGGCGGCGCGGCGAGTCGCGTACTCGGACTACTTCAAGTTCGCCGACTGGCACTTGCAAGATTTCCCCAGAAGGTGCAGTCGGGCTTGTTCGGCGCACCTGTGCGAGATAATGTCGAGAGGATTTTACCGGCGTTGGGCGCTGGATCCTTTCTGGGATTTGATAGGCTATCGGCTGCCCCTTGAGTGCTGCGAACGGATCCTCGAGAAGCTGACGAACGAAGATTTGTATCGCATTTGCTTGGCGGCTACGGGCCAAAATGGCTGAAGCACAACAGGATCGTGAGAATAAAAACTTGAGCTTTGATGTATATGTTAGAGTGGGAATCGTTATTATTTTTGTTGGTAATGCTCCAAGAGCAGATTACTCCAAAGTATTTTTGTTTAACAATGAGTATCATAATCTAAATGAGTAAAAAAGTATAATTCATTAATTTTTTGCGCTTTAATTTTTACATGTTGTGATTTTTTTAATGCTGATAAAATGCTTAATTACATATGGCAAGATGAACATTTTTCTGCGTCGTGAAGATTTTGGTCATGCTGAAAGATACCATATCTTATTCATGAGTCAAACAAAGTATTCTGTTTGATGCATTCTTTTTTTAATATAACCGCTGAATAATATTGAAACCAAAAATTTTTCATTAAACATGAAACCAATACTATGAAACATTACTCTGCTTAATTTATAAATGATTAGAATGCTTATTATTAAATAACCACTTGAAAGGTACAATCCTATTTTTAAATGGATTTTTTTTCACAACTTTATAGTTAGAAATGTCATATCAGTTTTATTGATATTTGTATAATTCATTTGTGGACATATAATATGCATACTAGGGCGAGTATCCGATTTTGCGAGTTTTACTCGACTCGAACTCGACTCGCCGAGTTCGAGTCGGGATTTTTCGAGTACTCGAGTTTTTTCGGGTACTCGAATTTTTTCGAGTAATCGATTTTTTTCGAGTACTCGCAATGTATTTAAATTCTAAGTAAATAAATCGTGAATCAACAGTCTCTAGACCCCTGTCTATGTTTGTATATGTTTATAAGTGTGACATTCGCAGCGGCTAGAATTGGAAGAAGAAAATAATTCATCACACTTATAAGCATGTACACACAAAGAGAGGGGTCTAGAGACTGTTGATTTATCATTTATTTACTTAAAACTTGAATATACTGTGAGTATTCGAAAAAACTCGATTACTCGAAAAAATTCGAGTACCCGAAAAAACTCGAGTACTCGACTCGAATTCGAGGAAAAAACTCGAACTCGATGAGTCTGAGTTTTTTCGAGTACTCGCACAGCCCTAATATATACTGTTAAGGCTACAGCATTTCGTCAAACCAAATGATAAAAAAGTGTCCATTCAAAATGTTTTGAAATACATTCGAATTAATCGGCGTGTTTTTGACAATTTCTTTGTTGCAATTATGTAAAAAATATTAAACGCATTTCAAATGATCTGAACATGTAACTGTTTTAAAAAAATTAGACTCGTTATTCAACCACTTTAAATGCGATAATACCACTTTCAGCCTCCGCCACTAGATGGCGAGTATCTTTAAGTGTAAATCTGCAAGTGTTAAAGTAAAAATAATGGTATAAGTCGAAGACACGACGAACCAGTATATCTGGGGATTTCGCTTATTTATTACTTTTCCACATCACAGTGATGATAATAAGTGTAAATATAACAAGTAAAAAAATGAGGTAACGAATAAATGTAACCTTATACATAAAGTGGGAAAAGACAAAGCAAGAGAAGCGCGACAGCGAGGAGTGCGAATTCCAAGCTGCCATTGGCTAGGTTTAACAAACGTGCGCGGAATTCGCTCGCGATCCGCGTATACACAACAACACACATACGCATATATATATAGCTCGAGGCGAGGATATGACACGATGCAGCGCGCGAGCGCGTAAGCACACACCGAGTTGACTTCTCTCTTCTTTTTTTTGCTCTTATATTGCTCTCGGACTGCAGCGTATACGCTCGTTACTGCCACCACTGCCGCCGCCGCACAGTGGTACCAAACTGAAAAAAAATGATCTAAATTAAAGTGTCAAGGGATTTTAGCACGGAAAAAAAATCCAAAAATAGTGTCAGATTCGGGAGATCATGAGGAATCCAATGCCGTTTCCTTTTTTTAATTAGCTGTTTGTTTAAACATTATACAGCTAATTGAAGTCTCTCATTATCAATTTGTTATAACATAAAATTTCCTAATTATTCATTTATTGAATTATCATTGCAATTTTTGTGAGCCGAAAGCTATCTCAGCTCATTGGTTATTTTTACAATCACTAAAATAGTATGAAAATTCAAAATTAATATTTGTTAATAATAATAATTGTTTCGTTAATAAACAAATGAAAAGTTAACGTGCAATATGTTGTTCTCATCACAATTAAGCATTTTAATTGGATTGATGGGAAATAATCATATCATTCTAATTTTTAACGACAATTGTTATAACAAACGATTGTTATAAACAAATTTTAAACAATTGTGAAATTTTGATTTCTTATACTTTTTTACACATATCGAATTTGATTATAGCTTAAATTTTTTTCCAACGAATCATAAACATTCAACAATAATATTTGTTGATAATTTTTTTATTTTGTTGATAAACAAATGGAAAATTAACGTGCAATATGTGGTTTTCGTTACGATTATGCATTGTCACTGTATTTACAGGCAATAAGCATATCAATTTAACATTCGACGATAATTGCTTAAGCAATTGTTATAAACAAATTATTAATAATGGTTAAATATCGATTCTGCATGCATTATTGTGCTAGTGAACACTCATTAGAATTGCATATTAATTAAATATCAAAGGATCACAATATTAGAGTGCATTTTTAATAATAATTTTTATTATTATCATTTATTATAAATTAACAAATTTAAATAAATAAAAAGTTTATTTTGGCCTTAATGAAAGAAATAATAATTTTATTGACTTGAA